TGAAATATTTTTTTGCATACAGGTATAACAGAATAGCTTTAGTGTAGTTGTTGTTTTAAACTTGAGTATGAACTTATACAAAATGCAGCAAGATATTTAAAAAACAGTTTTGTTGATTAAAAAAAACACTCGGATTCATATCGGTATCGGCAGATATCCAAATTTATGATATCGTATCGGACATAAAAAATTGGTATCGTGCCATCTCTAGGCATCACCCACTGTGGCATCACCCACTGTGGCATCACCCACTGATTCCGGAAGCCATCGTTTAGAGCATGGATTTTATTATGAGCTAATGCTAGCGACTTTTGTTACCACAGACTATATGAAAGCATCAGTCAGACAAAGATTAGCAATGTCCAATCAATCACTGCGCACCAAACCTGGAGCTCCGCCTTCTTGGACCGTCTGTTAGTAAAAAAGTTCCAACAGCACAAACACGGTCCAGAGGTCCAGTTCAGGTGAAGCCTAGCAGACAGCTAGGAGCTACAACTACCTGTGTCACTATCCACATGTAATTCAAAGAGGCCACACCCCTAATAATGCAAACTTTAAATGACTGGTTGAATCTGGGACCATTTTTTTGTATTAACACCAAAAGCAGGTGGTAGGTCAGCATCTTCAGGAACTGCAGACTCACGGTCGCTCCTTCCCCCCAGTAACAATAAGGCCGTCCCTCAGAGTGGTGTACATGGTGAAGACGGGACCGCTGTGCGCCTTTGCCACCACGCGCACCAGGAAATGCTCCCGCCACACGTACACGTCTCCGTTGATGGCGCCAGTGAATGTCAGGTTGTTCTGAGTGAGACAAACAGCGATTTACCACAAGTCCGCAAACACCAGAGCGTTACATACAAAAGCAACGTCAGCGTTTCTTACGGCGCCGAACGCAACAGACAACATGGTCTGCATGCGGCCGTCCTCCACTGAGCCGATCACACCTTTCTTGTACATGAGCGAACCTCCAACCAGAGTCCAGAACTTGATGTGTTTGATTCCCACCGACACGAACTGGGTGTCAGAGTCCGGCCGGAACTCCACCACGAAGATCCGCTCAGTGTGGCCGCCCTTACTCGTCACCTTGGTGCCTGACGGACAGGTAAGAGGTCAAAGATCGCCCCATCTATGTCACATACTTTGTCTTGTTTGGTGTGGAACAGATGGTCCAAACAATAATGTTTCCCCCCCCGAGGCATCATTGATAACAACCTTAATCCTGAACCTCGAGTCATTAGGTAATCGTGGGGATCAGGAACAGTGTTACCTGTGTAACCCTCGATAGTGTCAGAGCACCAAGAGCTAATCTCTTACTCCTTCCAACAAACTGCCAGCAGTCAGAAGCTGAGAGCATCTCACAATCGTTCATCTGATGAAAGATGTTGGGTACCTTCCTGCCACCTCCACACTGTGATGGTGTGTTCAGGCTCCACCCCCACAGACAGCAGCAGCTTCCCTGTAGCGCTGAAGTTAACGTAGCCAACGCCTTTAGCGTGCGAACACCGCAGGATGGACAGTGTCTGCTTGGTCATGGCGTCCCACACGTGGATGGATGGGGCGAGGCCTGCAAGGAGAGACCAAACCGTAGAAACCACACAACTTCACAACCACAGAACCGAGGTAGGAAGTACCAGGACCTGAACATCCAAGGACCTGTGGACCACAGGACTGAAACACCAAACAACATGTGGGATCTACAGCTGAGCTCCTCAGCATTCTTCAAGGAACAGGAGAAAAAGGGAACCTCAGATCTACAGCATCGACAAACAAAGGAACAGATTTAGCAGGAAGTGGGGCAATGAAAGGAAACGAGCCAAGGAATGAAGGATGGTAAAGAGGCCAAGAAGAAAAGGATGAAGGACCTGAGGGAGTTATGGGAGCTGTGAAATGGAGACGCAGTGTCGTGGAACGAACTTGGATGGATGAATAGACCTTATCCCATTCAGGATCTTTGGGTACTTCCAGCGGCTGAGTTCGCATGCTGGGTCACGGAGCAACGCCATTCAGAGTGTGGAAATTCAAAATGGCTTCTTTCAAACGACCATCTCTTTATTAACACTTTCAGTCATGATCACATGACCGGTTCGCTCCCGAGGTCCCGGACCACCTCAGCTCGGCAGAGGAAACCTCAGAAGACCAGAGAGGAAGACGTGTTTTTAATCGCGTCCTCTCTGGAGAACAGAGAGAGGCTCAGGAACACGTGATCATGTGATCATGCCCCGACAGCGTCTGCATTAACACGACTGACCCGGAGATGTTTCTAAAGGATGGAAAGCAGCCTCTGAATCACAGCTTCAGCACACACGGCACAGACTGCACACAGAAACACCGACGTCATGCCCACACGAGGCTCTCGGCCGGGCTCCGAGTCTGCCTACTGCCATGCTCGTGCTAATGTGGAGACGCCTGAAAACACCGAGTTCAGCCACGCTGATGTTGCAGACGCTGAGAAAATAAGAGAAATGGATCCTCCAGCAGTGACTTCCTCCTTACTGAGCAGCCTTCAACGTGCTGCTAGATGACGGGTTAAAGATCTCTGAGAGTCGGACTGTGGTGCACGAACCCTCATTCAGACTGCACCTTCAAAAACAAAAAACTTTGGCCTTGACTGTCGGGCTTGCACCTCGTGTGATGTTGAGGTTCCTCACAAAACCTGTACATAAACCCGACGGCTCGGCAGACGCACGCCTGGCGTCCACGTTGATTTCCGTGTGAAACAATTCAAAAAATGTAAGACCTGATGCTCTCGGACGTTTCTGTGGCGTGGAGCGTTCAGCGTGACGTTCAGTGTTTTCATCTGAATCCACATCAGTGCAGACGAGTCGGGGGCGAGCTACGATCAGCGTCCTGACTCATGATACTCACCAGAGAGCTCCGCCTCTACACGCCGGGAGCGAATGACACCAACACGTTAATAAACTCAACCTGTGTCTGTGTGTGTCTGTGTGCGTGCGTGTGCGTGTGTCTGTGTGTGTGTGTCTGTGCGTGTGTGTGTCTGTGCGTGCGTGTGTGTGTGTCTTTGTCTGTGTCTGTGCGTGTGTGTGCGTGTGTGTGTCTGTGCGTGCGTGTGTGTGTGTCTTTGTCTGTGTGTCTGTGTTTGTGTGTGTGTGTGTGTGTGTGTGTGTGTGTGTGTGTGTGTGTGTGTGTGTGTGTGTGTGTGTGTGTGTGTG